ACACAAAATGAAAATTTTTCCCCCAATTGCGATATGGTAAATGTCCGCCGTTTTGGATTTTGTGTTTTTTACGATATGCGCGCGAATTTTGCATTCGATTTTTTCAACGAAAAAATTCCAGGCTGAAATTTTTGACGCAGTTTGGGGTCTCCTGTTTAGGTGAACACGAAAATAAAATTTTTCCCCCAATTGCGATATGGGAAATGTCCGCCATCTTGGATTTTGTGTTTTTTACGATTTGCGCGCTAATTTTGCATTTTTCATGAAAAAAGTTGAGAACAAAACTTGTAGAGAATTCGATTCCCTACAATTTTCATGTGCCTTTAATTTTTTTAAACAACTATTTATTGCTAATAATATGCAAAAAATGCACATATTTCAAATAGAAATTGCTGAAAATTCGAAAAGACCGCGCCACTTGCCTAATTTTGGGCATTTTTTGCATATTATTAGCAATAAATAATTGTTTAAAAAATCGATAGGCCATGAAAATTGTAGAGAATCGAATTCTCAACAAATTTATTAACCTTTTTTTCGCGAGAAATGCAAAAATTCGCGCGCAAATTTAAAAAACATAAAATCCAAGATGGCGGACACTTCCCATATCGCAATTGGGCGAAAAATTTTCATTTTGTGTTCACCTAAACAGGAGACACCTAACTGCGTCAAAAAATTTCTTCCCGGATTTTTTTTTAATCTTACGTCGATTTTGGTCTGAAGTGATCGGGCTATATATTCTATAGTCGCTCGAACCGAACAAAATTGGAACCGAGTTTTGATACCGCCGGAACCGTTCTGTTCTTTTGGAGTCGGGTCGGACCCGGTTCTCCTGTTCCGGCTCCTTGGTTCTGTGCGTCACTAATTGGTATGCCCTCCACTAATTACACGCTTTTTTTTAAGAAAACCTAGGATTTTAGGAGAATTTATATATACTCACGGAAACGAGAGATAGATGCAAACTACGATCTGTCGAATTTTTAGGCAATCTTGGGAGGGGAGGATGTATGTCACTCTATCTGTGCTCCAACGAGCCATCCCCTATAGGAAAATACGCAGAACGGCTCGGAGTCCCTTACCATAGATGATGCAGAAGTTGCAAAACTATGAGAAGGAAGAGACAGTTCTCCATCCTCTCTGTAGAGCAGATTGCGCTCTCTGGAGTTTCCCTTATTATTAGCCTTGACGGATTGGGAGTTATAAACCTCAGATGCCTGAGGAGTTTCGTCAAGGATTAAAAATGATTCAGCAAAGTGACAAAGCTCATGGTATAACAAACGGGACTTCACTTCAACTCGTGGGTTAAGTGTGTCCCTGCGTAGCATTGGCAGCCGTTTTATAGAAGCCGATAAAGCAGTGACAACATCCCTTATTAAAGTCACTACCAACTTCCTTTCTGGGCTAACAACGCAAAAGCACAACAACCGTTAGGTACACTTAGTCTTGCTCCGCACCCATTACAGCACAGCATCCACTGCGCAACCGCTGAAACTGTCATGCGTTGCCTTGCCTTTCTCGCCACCCTTCCTGCCCACTACAACCAAACAACGACAATACAGCATCCATTCAATGCACGCTTGGTGCTTTTCCATGCATCACAATGCGTTCAGTATCATTCCAGCTGTCAGCGTATAAAAAACCTTTATGAAGAAAACGAAAAGGCGCGCGCGTGTGTTTATGTGTGAAAATAAATAGGCAAGAAAAAAGCTGAAAATCAACAAAAAGAGATTGGTCAAATCGAATTAATTACCAAAAGTTGAAAGAAAAACTTCTTTAAAAGTTAAACAGATAATTTCAAAGTGAACTTGGAGTAGTGCAAGGCTTGGCGAGTATTGCTGCTGGTGTAGAAAGATGCAGCCGTTAGTGTCAGCGCATTGGCGTTGGCGCTTACTCCGCCTGATCCTTTGTCTCGCCGTCACAATGAGCCTGCAATTTCAACACACGCTGGCACTGCCCGACGTCATTAAAATTGGTAAAGAAAAAATTAAAAATAGTCACTTGGCCATCAAGCGCGCTTATCCTACGCAGTCACAGACAACGCCAAGATGGCCAAGCACTTTGTTTTATTTTCAACCTTCCTCTTATATTTATTGATTTTCTGATTGCATTAACTTATTACTTTAATCTGCGTTGATGAGCATAGTATCTGTGCGTATAAGTGAATGGACTTGGATATGCGCAAGACATTGAACGTGCATGACTATGCACCTGTATGTGTGTGCTTGTGTCTGCAGATGTACGGATATTACGATTTTCCTCGCACTCATACATATTAGCTTCATGGAAGGAAATTAAAACCACACATTTAACGATTTTGTTTACATTTCACGTTTCTCATTTTTTCTTGTTTCTTTTTTCTTTTTTGTTTTATTTTTATTTTGATGTTTCATGCTACAATCACAACCACGCACATATATATGCATATTTTAGCCCATTATACCACATTATCCTGTTCACCGCTCAACTCTGCATATCTGTATGCGTTTGCTCTGCAGGTGGCCTTTTTCACCCGAGTGACGATACCCAGGAGCTAGCGTTTCGCCAGGCCGTCGAGCACATAAACTCTGATCGATTAATATTACCGCGTTCTAAGTTGGTGGCGCAAATTGAGCGTATCTCACCGTTTGACAGTTTCCACGCAGGCAAAAGGGGTGAGTATTTGCCTACTCTTAAGATTATGCGATTTTATTTATAAACACAGCAAGTAAGCGGGCACTTATCAGGATGCGGCAACAGCTATTTATAATCCACGACAGCAATTCGATGTGATTATTATACATATTACTGGCGTATAGAGGGAGGGGTAAATGTGTGGCACTTAGGGATAACGACCCTGCAGTGAAACCCCAAACTGGTCAGGAAAAATACTAGTTTACAACTAGAATTTCCTGACTGAAACCGAACTATTTCGAAAATGACCAGATTTGTACCAAGTACAGTACGATTTATTCATGCTCTGTTTTATTTGACTTTGACAGTTTAATAGAATAAAGTACACAAAATACTATAACGTTTATTTGATTATATTGTAAACCATTAAAGCGAGTACGTATTCAATTATACCAGACCTGTTAAATAATGATTAATATTCATAATGATTATTAACTAAAGCATGTTTTTTTTTGGAATAATTTAATGGCTAAATACCGCTAATGGCTAAATATTACCACCCTTTTAATGATTAATAAATAATTACTTAAAAATAATGTTAATTAAATCATTAATTTTAATTACATGATTTTTTTACTATTTTTGACATTTTTTAATTACACATTACATTAATATGATTACTTGATTAATTTCTATTATGAATCAAGAAGCCAAACTACAGACAAAAATTAAGAATACATATTTAATAAATGCTTGAATTATTTATTTATTTTATTCTTATCCAAATCCCAAATTTTAAACATTAATTATTACTTTTATAAAATTTTTAAAATAATAGACTGAAATGTTAAAGTTATTTAATTTATTTCTAATGAAAACTTTTATTTTTGTTTCTAGTTCACTCAAAAATTAACTAAAGTATTCATTTTATTTTTAACTAAAATGTTTTCTTTTGCATATTCAATATTATTATAAAGATAAATATAGTATTTTTTGTACCTCAAACTTTTACTTTTAATAACATGAAAAATGCATTTAAATTTATGTTCGAAAGTTTGAAATATTTATGTATTTATCTTTGCCTTTAATTAATACTCAAAAAATTTAACACTAATTACACTGGATTACAAATTTTAATTTGGTTTTTGTTCTCCAGACGCCACTATCCAATATCTATGTAGAATTAATCGTTAATTCCGAAATTTGGGTTAATTTTTTTTTTATGGACACGTTTCCGAGATATTTACAATTTACCGTTATTCGGCTTAAAGCAAAAATTGGTACGGCAAATGAAAGCCAATGAAATTCTCCATAAACCGTATATACCACACTTTCCGATAGGGCTTACAGTTTTTGCAAAATTAATTAATCATTCCAGTTTTTTTTATTTTTTAATGTAAAAAAATCAATCTTTAACAGAAAAAAAAATTTAAAAATTAATGAGGGGTCAAGTGAAAATGCGCAAAGATTTATTTTACGAAATATGAGCAGAAAAGCGCCCCAGTGTACGCGGCGTATGAGTAACATTCTTTCGTGCTCAATTTTCATACAAATAATCTTGAGCATTTTTTTTGACCACTCATTATTTCGAATGTTTCCAACGATTTTCTTCATCAGTAACTTGATTTTTTTTTTGCAACAGAACAGCTTTAGTACAAGTGAAAAAATTTGGCACAGAACCTGTTATTTTGAAATTTTTCTTCTGTTAAAGCTTGATTTGTTTTTAATTTTTTCATTAAAAAATAAAAAAAGCTGGAATGATGAATTAAGTTTTTCAGAAACTATAAGACCTATCGGAAAGTAATGTTTACACGGTTTATTCATTAGCTTTAACTCGATTTTCAGAATCACCGAGCAATTCTACATAGGAATTGGATAGTGGCATCCACAGAACATTTTTGCTGTAAACCAGTGTTACTGGCAAATCTAAGGCTGCTAAGTAAACATGTGTAATATATTAAAGTGTACTTAATCAAACGTTTTTTATTGTATATTCATGAATCTCTTTTTTTTTTCACTCCCAAAGTAGTTGTTTTGGGTCATAACTAGACTATTTTTTTTTTCTGTATATTTTGACAATTGCCACCTGGGAGTGCTATGACTGTTTGCGGACCGATAAATCCCTGGTCTGAGTCCACTCTGACCAAATGGCCAGATGCCTCATTACCAGGTGCTTCTGACTACCTGGTACCCAGAGCAGGACTTGACCGTTATATTTCTCAACGTATTTTACTCGATACTTGCCGAACCTGTATGGATGTAATTTGAGGGATTACCAATGCCTTGAGTACATCTGGCTGTCACTACTATTTTCCACCACGTAGTCAATCCTTTTCACTATTGCAAATATTCGGCTATCCAAGAGAAAAGTGAAGCTCATACCCATTAACGGTGATACATATAGACTACCGATCCTGACCCAATGTTAATTATTCAGCCATCAGTAAAGGTACGTCAGTGTTGGAATTAAGCCAGCATTCAGCTTCAGGGAGCTAAACCTTGTGTAATCCCCTCAGCAAAGACTATGATGGGCATTGAAAAGACACTAGTGTGTAGATCCTGCAATTTTCACCTCAGCTCACTCAGTATCAGGCCAACATCCAATTCTGAAAGGCGGCCTTCAAGTCCTCCCTACGTATAAAGATGGAAAGTGATGGCAGAGCATCAAGAGCAGTACTTGAATACTCCCACCTTGGGGAGCTTCTTTTATGTAAAATTCCCCCTTCAGGTCAGCGTTGGTCCGTGAAGCGACCCGTAATACGGCACCATAGACAACCGTGACTAAAAGAGTCGTCCAATGGGCATGGTCAGCTTAAAACCCTGGATTGAAGGAAGCTTCCGAATCACCATTAAGAAGCATTGCGATAGGCTATGCTACTGAGAAGCAGCAAGCTGCAATTCGGACATCGCACAAAATATACTGGAGTATCCATTACCAGTAAGCACTTTCCAAAAAAGGTGTCTTGTTGAAAATTGCACATGGATGCACATAGATAGTTCAAGTATGTAGATATATTTGAAGAGACCATCTTCTTTTTTATAGGAGACAAGCCCAAGCACAGTTTGTAAATTTTTTAAAGTGCAAACCTTTGCATTAATTTATTGTAAGCACTTGCTTCTTTTGATAAAGTGAAAGATTCCAAAGAGCCATAGAAAACTACCTGTAATAGTTTCCATCAAATCAGGGTCAAATATCTGCAAGATAAACATGGAGAACGCCGGACAAATATTTTGCAGTGTCTTCATTTTCTGGCTAAGACGGAATAACTCTATCGGCAGAGAAGCCGAGCTTAAGCCGGTATAACTGTTGTAATTGTGAACGAGACGTAATGTGGTGAACGTTTTAAAAGTCACTAAATGAAGTTTGTATGTTTTTCACAGTAGATGTAAAAAACTGCAGCTAACTTTATGTTTGTTAAACAAAGCAGGGACATAACAGTTATAAGTTTTTTTCGGAAAAACGTTGTTCCATAACAGTTATTAGATGAGAAAATTTTTTTATTTCGACGATATGAGTTTAACCCATCGTTTACTTTTTAGGTTGCCTGATAACTGTTATGCAGGAGAAATAAGATAAGATAATGAGAGTTATTTCCCAACGTTTATTTTTTAGGTTGCTTGATAACAGTTATTACCCAAGGTTTATTTTTACGTTGTCTGATAACAGTTATTTCACTCCTCCTCTCCTACTTTCATCATCTTTATCTTATTCTCCAACTCCGTTTTTGTCAATATTCTTATCTTACAACGTTCAAAATAAACGCTGGATAATAACTGTTACCAAGAAACGTAAAAAATAAACGTTTGGCAATAACTGTTATCAAACAACGTAGAAAATAAACCTTGGCGTATAACTCTTATCGGCGAAATAAAAATATTTTTCATCTAATGACTTTTATTAAACAAGGTTTTCGTTAAATTTTAGAATTTGGGCAAGGTTTTCAATGTGTAAATTCGAGATAACTTTTTGGCCCCTGAAATAAAGTATATCTCTCTCTCTCTCTTCTTTTGGATAAATAACTCGGAATAGACGTGCTTTTATTTCTCGGTTCCACTCGTTTTCAACGCTAATTTTAAATCCTAAACCATCAATAACGTATTCGATTTCTTATGCGCGGGCGATTCTTGACGCAATAGTCTTAATATGATATTATCATGGCAGATGGTGAGCCCGCAGCTACCTCCTATTTTACAGGATCACAGGTCGTTCATACATAACCTCCGATGAAAGCGTATACGCTAAGTTGAGAAA